ATCACAGATTGCCAGGATATCAGAATTGTTCTATGAATAGCTACTTCGTTGTGGGAGAAAAAAAACTAAAATAATAAAAGAAGATGAAATCAATAATCCTGAATGTATAGAGAGGAATAACTGAAAATCTGAGTAATTTGCGAGCAAGGTTGAAAATGTCACAACATTTTTAGTTATATAAACATGAAGTGTCCCGAGTAGTAAAAATAAATAAAAACAACTTTCTTTCATTCCACTTGCATCGATTACGCACATTTCCCGTGCAGTTTCCATGGATTCCAATGTAATTCGTTTTAACATAACATGTAAAAAAGTAGAATCTAAAATTTTCTGAACTGCTCTCAATCTTAAGTCTCAAAATTGCGAAGCGAAATGAATAACGGATTATCCAATTATCCTCTCTTTATGAATGCATCCAATTAATCTAATGCATCTGGTCATTAATAACGAATCACCGTATGTTTACTATCTTTTGAAATTACGACGAAGAGAATGAAAAGAGAATAAATTGTTGTTTTTTTTTCTTTTATATATTGTTAATTACATCCTAGTTTGTGTTGGGTCAAAGTTTTTAAAAATACTATTTCTTATAATTACAAAGAAAACGAAGAATGAACACAAAAGCTAAAACTATTTTATTAATCTAGATCCCACAATTTATTATTATTCAAAGTTTTTCTGAAAGTGTTGAGCTACTGTTAATTCTAATTGGGTTTGGAAATACGTCTGAAATATAATGAAAAGTTGTTGTAAAAACTATTTGGACTGATGTTTCGTGACTTCCTATCACAGCTTATTGATTGCACCAGTCCGCATTGCATTTGCATTTATTATTTAGCGTTTACCTCGAAACGTTAAAACACTATAGAAAAAGTTTCATTTTACAGATTTTCGTCTAAAAAATATATTTTTATTCTGTTTATACATTTCTTATACACACATTTTATATAGTATACATTTTTTTGTGCAATGGTTTCCTTTATATAATCAAGTCTCCTTTTGTGCTGTTTATTTGTGTATGGTTTTAAAGTTCTCGATTAGTGCGGTTTCAAAGTTACCCGCACTGTACGAGGTACTTTGAAATGATGGATGGATATATTTCGAAAGTATTAGTATTTGAAGATAAGTTAAAATCAATTTATCTTCAAAAGTTTCATAATATTAATTTACTGATAAAATATTTATCGCATCCGCCTTCTACTAACCCAGTTTGACGTAACTGGAAAGTCGTTATTTCGGAATGGAAATACTAGAAACAGCAATTATACCTATCTATTAACATCTGCTGCTTGAGAGAGATTTTTTCACAAAATTCAAAGATATTACAATGAACAGAAATGAGTTTACTTTCATCTGGAAACTGTTCACATTTTCCCCCCATTTGGACATACATTGAATTTCAGTATTCTCTTCTCCCGGTGCACACACAATGTGGTAAAAACTAGAAAGCGAGAACGTCATCAATCTGTGCTGCGTAAATTGTAAAAATAAATAATGAAAAAACAGCGAGTAACGAGATTTTCATTTCTCGTTACAAATGTGATTACCGTGCATTTGCATAGAAGTTATCAACAAGCAAATGAATAAGATTATGTAATAGGGAATTGAGTCTTCATGAAAATTAGCTGTATCCGTGCATGTTTTTTTTTCTTGCTATTTCTGTGACCTATTCAGCAGATCTTCACGTCACTAATTGCAGTAGGAAGAAAATGTATGTATAGTATAAGGAACTTGTTGTTTTTCTTTCATCTTTTTTTTTTCAATTACTTTGTTAGCTGCAGTTCTTGTTTATTTGGTGTACAAGCGGGCGAAATTGTAATTGGTTTTTGCGAGCAGTTTCCTGCTTGCATCCCAGTTTTGATACGCAAATTTCAATCTGTTTGAAGCTGAAAACGATCTAATTATCTCGTGCACTTTCCCTCGTTACCCTCTCTTTCTGCGTCATGTCGTTATTTAGTTTGAAACCGTTTAATGTTACCGACAAAACACATTTCCAGTAGAAATTACTGCTGGGTTACATCTTTTACTACACTCTACTATTGATTTTAAGTTGTACCATTATTTTTTCTATAATTATTATAGCAAAGTTTACATATGTATTTGGATTATGCCAATAATTACTTATATAATTCATTTTTTAAGTATATATATATAGCATTTTCTAGAAAATAAAAGTACAGTGGAAACGTAAGAGGCAATTTGTGGTTATTGCGGTTTATGTACATGTAGTGCACATAAAAGAAAAGTTGGACACGTGTTGTCTAATTATATAAGCTTTTAATAACTTTTCGTTGACAAGAAAATAATTTCAGTTTTACACTATATATGAAACTGAAAGAAAGTTCAAATAAAACTCAGACACTCAAGCAGCTTTGTTGCCTTTACGAAAATGCAACAGTAAAATATTAATGTTATAAATATTAAAATTGACCAGCTGCAAAAAAATTACGCGCGATTTGCTTTTAAATTAAGCTAAAAGTGACATCTGTCAAAAAGGAAGATGTCAAGATAAGATTGTGTAAAATAAAACTTTTTCATAAAAAATCTGGTAACAGAATTACGTGCAATTTGTTTCTAATAATGACATCTGTCAAAAAATGACATGGACAGAAAGTGAAAAGCGACATACTTTCAATATATTATTGAATTTACTATATTAAATCATCGACGTAAGTGAAGAATTAAATACTGTTGAATAAACACAAAACAATTTACGTATTATTTACGGCAAGATCCACTTTCTGAATGAGCAATGAGATTATCATGGCCATCCTTCCAATTGTTTATTGTTGTCGATGGACGCATTTGCATGGGCGTTTGCATTGTGTACTACACCTGAACACGTGTAAATCATCCTGACCTAATTCTTTGCAAATCCAATATAATATTTGATGGAATACGCGTAAATTAAAATTACGAAAGTCGAAAATAAATTAATGTAATTTCGATATGGATGCAAATGATGCAGGCTTTTGGAGACATCGTTTGAAAACTGTGTACGTTCAGGTGTTAGTTATGAAACGATCGTTGGGAGAAAGTTTGCCTTTCACTCCGTAAGGCTCCACGAGATTTCGGCATTTATCTTAGAATTATTTTCAACTCGTTGGCATGTGCGAGTATTTTTACGATTTCCATGGCATCTGGAATGGATCCTCTTCAAAGATATATTTATTTATAGGAACGGAAGGTGTTTCGGATTTTATCGGGATCAAGGCTGAACCGACAATTACCTATTAACAAATTGCAACGGAACGCAACAATCGCATCGACATCGTTAAAAGTAAATTTATAATACTGCTGGGCTGTGTTCTACCTATAAAATGGCGTTTCGTAATAAGTGTAGGAAGGCGTCCAATGCCGAAGGTTTCGAGAAACTAAGCTCAGTTGTAACATTTCTTCTATACGCATTTATAATTATCAAGACAAAGATGTTTCTAAGTTTTGCAAGGAAGAAAAAATATCTTTAATTTTTATATTGATACCTTTTCTTTTTTTAAATTTTTGTTCTTCATCGTAGCCTTTAGCCCGAAACGAAATGATGGCGTCCTTCCGGCCAATGACTTCTCGTCGTGACCGCCGCAACTGCGTATCATCATCTCTCGGTATCGTTGGTCCCAAACCGTCTAGACTTGCAAAACAAACAGTCCAACCATATACACACCATGGTACTTTGCCCCACGTTGGTGTGGATCACCTCCTCCCCTCGTTTCTTTCCAACTAGTTTTGAACAGCTACATCGTTTCAAGGAAAAAAGTTTGTTATTATTTGGAACAGAAACCAAGCAAAACTTAATGTGTCAAGTGCAAATAATTAGATAGTTACTTCACTTTTTATATTGGCATATATTTTGTAAATACAGCAATAGCTCGTATAATGCGATTTCACCTATATTCTACACTGTCTAGATTTGTTTACTATTTTTTTATATAATGTACTGTTGTGAATCCGGACTATTCGAGGTATTGCTGTATTTATGTACATACTTGTCAAATCATAGCATCTTACATAATTCATAGTTACATAAACTTAAGCAATTTGTCTCAATAAAGTAATACATCTTTTTGCAAATTAATTATCTTTTTTCATCTAATATATGAATTTTCGACTTTATTTACGAATTTTAATGATTCTTATAAATTTTGTTATCTATATTTTTGTTGTGTTGATCTTTGCGATGGAAACTTTGGACGCTTATAAATAAAATGCATCGTGTTGCCATTATGTGATATCCCTACTTTATCGATGTTCTCTTTTATCTATACAGGAATAAATATACTAAACTCGTACGTGATAGCGATAGACTGTAAAATCTTATTGCAAATGTTTACAAAACGAATCTAGACAAAAAAAAGTGTAAAAACCCAATATTTATTAATAGTAAACTAAAATTCACTTGGTGACTAAGACTTTCTGTTTGCTTTTATGCACTAAACGTTTATATGTAATTCCTACTTTGTGCCAATCACAATACTGACAATAATTATGAAAGAAATGGAAACTTTTTTTGATAGAACTTTGTAAATTAATTTATTTTATATTGGAAACAGATTGAAAATCTATCGGACTTTATCAAAAGTAATTAAACAAGCGTTTTTTGCAGTAAACCAAATATTTTTTCATCCCCTTCGAATTTGGATAATTAAAATTAGTTACTTTTTCGTCAGAATACATCATTAATTATAATTAAAAATTACGACGAATTATTTCATATGAATGTATTAGATGATCGCATTATTATTATTCCGCTCTGAACATCAAATTGTGGAACCTTCTAGTTGGAATTTTCTTATCAATCAGTATAAGCCTCTCAAGGTTATCGTGGCAAAGTGTTAAAAAGTGCTGTTAAAGCATGATTCAATCATTGACATTAAAGAACATTAAATAAAACGTTTAAAGTTTTATTCTATTTTTCACTGTTGTTTTAATTCTGAAGTGAAATGATTTCCTTGTATATATAGTTTATATGGTTTTAATTCAGTTTTGTATTTTGTATGTTTCAGGACATGGTAAGACGCACAGGGATGCTGCGAGTGTTCAGGCGACCCATCCGATACCAGCCTCGTGCGGATTGTACTATTTCGAGGTGAAAATCGTGAGCAAGGGCCGAGATGGATACATGGGCATCGGCCTCTCCGCTCATGGCGTCAATATGAACCGTCTGCCAGGATGGGACAAGCAATCCTACGGTTACCACGGCGACGACGGCCACTCGTTCTGTTCTTCCGGGACGGGACAACCTTACGGTCCAACCTTTACCACCGGCGACATCATCGGTTGCGGGGTCAACCTCATCGACAACACATGTTTCTATACCAAAAATGGGCATCATCTAGGCACAGCATTCACAGATCTACCTGTAAGAAAGACTACAAATACATTTCATATTATCATCATCATCAAGCAATAATACGTTTCACGAATTGCAAACTTTCCTTGCTTCCATTTGAAACACGAGTCTCCGCATAATGTAATTATTTGACAAAAGTAGCATTTTATCTCAATCAGAATTTTCTGCATGATTCATAAAGCTGTTTGAATCATCAAAGTTAATACTTAATTATTTATATATAAAGTTTTCTTGTTTCAGCCTAATTTATATCCTACAGTAGGTTTACAGACGCCAGGGGAAGTGGTGGACGCGAACTTCGGACAAGAGCCCTTTGTGTTCGACATTGAAGATATGATGAGAGAACTCAGATCTCGTACCAGACTCTCTATCTACGATTTTCCAGTGCCCGAGAGTCAAGGGGAATGGCAAGCCATATTAAATAAGTAAGACATAATTAATGAATTTAACGTGCATTTGGGTTGTCCAAGTCGTCATGTGTATGTGTGTGTGTAAAACTAGATAGTAGTTAAAAGCGGGATCGATATAGCGTGGAAGGTCTCGGCTCCGCATTAAATTTTAATATACTAAATAGTTAATCTATTTAGAGATTTTCGTACAAAGACCGTAGATTAAATGTTACGCTACTTGTAAAACGTTGGAATCGTAATGCCTAAATTTAGGTATATGTGAGGAATTGTAAAAAAAAATGAAGTTTCATTTATTATTGCGATATATGGTTCGTATGAACAATTAGTACGTTCGTGCGAAATTAAAACGTTTTTTTTTATTATGTACGTTATCTGAACAAAGATTGTATTTCTTTGTTACAGAATGGTCTCAACATACTTAATACACCACGGCTACAGCAACACCGCCGAGGCTTTCGCGAGCATAACAGACCAATCTTTCAATGAAGATATTATTTCGATAAAGAATCGACAAAGTATGTGGTTTTTATTCGAGAGAAATGTTTGAGGGATGTAATGAATACTCACCATTTCGTTTCGTGTTTCAGGAATTTTAAAATTAGTTTTAGCTGGTAGGATGGGCGAAGCGATCGACAAGACTATTAGAGTTTATCCAGGGTTATTAGAGAACAATCAGAATCTGCTTTTCATGCTCAAGTGTCGCCAGTTCGTCGAGATGGTCAACGGGACGGACGTGGAGGTCTGTCCGAGACGCAACCTGGGCGTGTATTCGCCTACATACACGTCGCCCAGCAGTCCCATCCAGACGTCCGTCATCCAGTCGACGAAGAGCTTCAGTAGCAGCAATAAGACTACGAGTAAAGTGGAAGAACTGAATCAAAATAATGTCGCCATGAACGGCAGCAGCAACAATTGCGCTGGCGACACACCTGTGATACGGTCCGTCGAGGACGGAGACGTCGACATGGACCTAGGGGACGTGGGCTGCGACGTGCAGAACGGCCACGGCGGTTCTTGCACGAACGGCAAAGCCAGCAGCAACGGATACCAAAATGGCAACAGCCACCTCATTAGCAATACCGCCATCGGCTGTCTGGGACAGGAGAACTTTGACAACGAGGACGAGGAAATGGGTTAGATTAGAGTTTTTTTGTTTGTTGAGCACTCTTCGAAACTTGATGCGTTTCATATCATGTTTCAGATGTGGACGCATCGCCAAATCGGAAGTGCTGCAAGCCGGCCGTAGAGAGAATCCTAGAGTTTGGTAAGGAGTTGTATAGTATGAGCCAAAGGTTGTCCAGCGAGCAAGGCGATAGTGAAACGAATCAAAAGATGCTGGAAGTAAGTGACAACTCTTATTTATATCCATATACATACTACTACCTCATATAAAAAAGACAACAAAGAAACATTAAATATTCAGTTTTAATCGATTACATTTTATATGTTAAAATGAGAGTTTTAATGTAATTTCAAGGATATAATTCTAGTATGAAAGTGGGATGGTTTTAAATCAAATTAATATTGAATTGAAGGAATGTTCGAAAAAAAGCATAAAAGTTAAATACGTGATGAACGAAAACGGATTTCATGACTTTCATTGATATAATGTAGTTATCTTAATCTTGTAAGTAGTATAATTTATAAATGGAAATTAACTTTCTATTTTGATAATAGTTATGCGAATAAGATTGAAATTTCCATAGACTCGGGACGCCTTCTATCGGAATAATCATCAACATCAGCGTTTCTTAACCTTTTTGTCGCTGTGAGCCAATATTTTGTTGACATTTTGACACATGGTGACAGCTGTCATTTCGCGACATCAGGCTAACTTAAATGGTGTAAATTGAGAATCTAAAATAAATCAAATGTTTCACCTTTTGAATGTTCATTTGATTACAAGTTTTGCTTAAATTTTCTTATCGAAACAGAAAAACATATATATGAATCGACGAAAACTGCACATTTTCTGTTGTTTGTTGTTTTGTCTAAAATTATCGTTGCGTTTGTTATTTCCGTTATCGTCCCACAAACAAAAATCTGGCTAGAGAGAGAGAGAGAGAGTGTTCTTAATAACTGGTGTTTCTTTTTATGCAAGTTACCTGAACGCGAGTTCAAGACTTCCGATATGAAAACGGTACTTGTAACTTTGCAAATGTTTTCCATTTTGTTTTATTTGTTTTCGTATTCATATTAGTACGTTTATTGCATCCCCCCTGCATTGTTTTCTATTCAGATTCATTATTTTCTAGCTTCTTCCAATTCAAACAAAAAAATAATAAATATGCGACTGCTTCATCTGCCAACCAACACTATTGTTTCGCAAACGTGAAAAGATATACAAAAACAAATGCCGTTGGGTTTTCGCTTCTGTTGTTGAAATAATGACATTTTTTTTTTGTTTCATTGTTGCTGTTTCTAGAAATATTTTAATATCTTCGCAAACTGAGACTTTCACTTGCAAATGTCTAGTTTGTTTTGTTGATTAAATTTTATTAAATATTGGGTTGTCCGAAAAGTTCGTGCCGATTTTTCTCGAAAATTACAACTTATAAATTGATATTTATATACATACATTTTTAATTGGTGCCTATACCATTTGAATCTATATACCTTTCTTCATCTTAAAAATAATGCCATCCTCACATAATTTTATAAGGTTTTTACCTGAGTGGAAATTTGGTGAATACCGCGTGTGGACTAATACAACTTAGTCTAACTACAACAATTTTTGTGGGGTAGTAAAAGAAATATAAGGGTTGGTATTGTCGTGATTTTTATCTGTTAAATTGTGTGAATTTTTTAATATTTTTAATATATATGTGTCTTGTAGTGCTGGTTATTCTCGATCAATGTCTTCATTTCATCATTGTTACTCTAAACTTCACACAGTTTTTTCAGCTAAAACAGAATATTTCTCGGTAATAGAAAAGTATCAAAAGTATAAAATGTACTTTGTTTTCTTCCATTTTCAAGACTGACACAAATCACTTGATTCGAACCAAAGTTTTTTTTAAAGACGGTTTAAAATGTAACATTTCAGAATATGATATAGTTGGTATTTATCGAAAATCGACACGGACTTTCATCCAATAGATGCAGTATGTTTTTGTATGCAATTGATGGAAATTTTGTTGGTTGGATGAATGAATGTTGCTTCTCTCCTGAATGTTGAAACAGCAGAGATGCGCTGTGCAAGATCGAAGAAAACTAACGCTGATCGTATGGTGCGGTGTGTTTTTCTTCTGTTTTAGGATGCATTTAGTTTATTAGCTTATTCGAATCCGTGGGCGAGTCCTGTTGGCTGGCAATTGGATCCCATCCAACGAGAGACGGTCTACGCCTCCCTGAACTCAGCTATCTTAGGTAATGCCTTGTTAACACAAGGAGATTGATTGATTGATTTGGTGACATTTATATATTTTCATCGACGATGATGATGATGTTGGCATTATTACCTGGTTGAAATTGGTGTTTTAGAATCTAGTAATAAGCCAAGGAAGCCGCCGTTGGAAGTGGCAATGGCTCACGCGCAAGAGTTGGTCTGTTTAATGGCGTCCGCTGGTCTTGGGTCAAGTGCCTTCGCCTCCATCACAGATTTATTGGAGCACTGATAACAAAAGAAAAATCATCCCAAGCCAACTCGCCCATCCCAAATCCCACGCCCCCCTTTTATCTACATTTAATATAATTAATTATATAAACAAATACAAACAAAAACAAAATACAAAAAAAAAAATACAATTATAAATATATATATATATAGACTGCCAGCCCGAGAGCCGACGTAGTTATTTCTATGCCACCACTTGTCATATGTCTACAACTAAAAAGAGAATACAGAGAGAGCAGCACGTTTACAAATTTAATAAAATTTCTTCAATTATCGAAACGGATTTTTTTTTAAATAATACATCAACACGATTACTTGATGCGAAAATCGTCGATTCTAACGAAATAAATTTTAGTAAGAAATTTTAATAATTATTTGCTTTTATTTAAATAAATATTAGATATTATACAAATTTTAGTTCATTAAGTTGTTTTTAGAATTACGTTTGTTCCCATTTATTAAATTTGACAACATTTTTTTTTTAAATCAAGTCCTCGTTTCCAGTTTTTTCATTACTTTAATTAATATTGATATTATTTTATTTTTAAATTTATTGAACATTCTTTTTTTTAAATTATTGAAATCATTTAATTTGGTTTGACAAAGAAAAAAACGACGTTTAATAGTAAAAAGAAACATAAATGTTATTTTAGAAATTTATGAATAAAAATTACAATTATACCAAAATATTGCAGTCCATCCATAATTATTATAGAACTGATACTGTTAATGGGATTCGAGTCGAAAGGACTGTAGCCTTAAAAATATTAAGTATAAATATACACGTAGTATTAACAACAAATGAAACTTAATTATTTTTTTATTATTTTAATTTTTGGAAATTTAATTTAATTATTTTTTGGTATAATCAAGAGACATATGATTAAGTAATTTTCACTGCTCAAGAAGTTGTTTCGTGGTGTGCGTGGTGACCCCCGCGGGCTTTTGTTTTACTTTTCCTTCTTTTGTTTTTCTTTTTTTGCATAGAAAAACAAGAAAAGAAGAGAAATACATTTATCATCTTCTTCCCGCATTACCTGCAGCAGTAATCATGGGTCGTTGTAATAACATTTACGTTTACTTTTCTTTCTGTTAATGTGTTTAAATTAGCTTTAGTTTAATTATGTAAATAATGTTACTTTCTTATTATTTTTTTGATTATAGATATTATTATTATTATTATCAATAAACATAATTTAAAATATTATTATTTTGTTTCTTTCAGTTTCTTTTTTTTTCCAGCGTTTTCATTGCTTACTCTGATTTCGTGTCTCGCGTAGACAATATTGGCAAGTGTTGGCATATTTCGAACTCTTTTTTAAACTCTTGTTGTTTTTATTTTGTTAAACAGAAATGCAGAAACTTTCAAATTTGCATCTGCTGACATATCTAATTTTTTCTTTATCATTTTGATTGTGGTTTCTAATTTGAATTATTTTTCTTAAATTTGTTTGTCGGGATTCATTACAATTTCCGAGCGATCGAAACGCATCCAAAAACGAAACACTTGGAAATTGACAAATTTCGTAAAAACATCATTAAAACATAGGATTTGTATTAACGTTGAGATTTATGTAAGGTAATGTGCTAAGTTTTTGAAATACGTAGGGAGTAGAAAAGTATAAAAAGATCATGATTGATAAATTTAAAAAAAAAATGTAAAAATAAACAATGTGAAGTAATCATAAAAGATGAGTAACGTATTTTATGTGCACTAGCACTAGCTTGTACGCATCGTTGCAAATGTTTGGTTCGTCTTTTATCCACGACTCTTTCAGCGAAGAAGAAAACTGTCCTCATTAACCGAAACTTGAACAAAATTTAATAACGATTATCTTCCTCAGGTTAAGCTATTATCTCATTAATAAATGAAAAACTAAACATTTAGATTAACAAATAAAATCGCACTTTCATCAATGATTCAAGTAATAATGAATAGATTTGGAAATACAGAATTGCTTTGTCTGATTATATTCAACAGTGGCTCCGTTGTAAAGGATATGGCGGATATATCCGCCGCATCTCAGAAAACTGTTATTTCTACACTTTTTCCCCATTGTATGGACAAATCATCATCAGCGTATGAGAATCACTGATTTTGTATATTATAATTAGAGAATTTCCGTAACATACAAACAAAAATTGAATTATGATTGAAAGTTTTCTTCACCGCTGATCGTTCAAGTGAACACAGGATGAGCTTTCGAACGTTGCAATTGAGTTTAAATAATTGTGATAAGTCGTTAACGATTGTACCGAGCACGTCTTTGCGGTCGACATTAGGAGGATCGTGTTAATAAACTTAAGCAAAAGTTGAGATGTGTTTGTTAGCGGATGAAACCAATTGTGTATGAAAGATGAAAAAAATGGACCGCGCTCAGAATCAGAATTCAGATGCAATACGTTTATTGTTGTTTATTTTGTCAATTCGTTAAACAATTTGGTTAATTTTTTTTTGGTTGTTCAGAAGAAAATTATTTTTTAATTGATACACAAAGAGGACTAAAAAAGAAAAACTGTATAATTTTTTAATTTTTAAGAGTACATAATTATTGTAATAATGCGAATTTTTGGGCGTAAATATATTTGACATTTGATACAGAATTAATAAACTTATAAGTTTTTGTAGCTTTATTTCTACATGTCTTTTACATTTAATCCACATTACATAAATTCACGGTTTTTTCTTACCTGAACTATTTTTGTTCTTGATTAAGGTACGTAATTATTTTCATATAATTAAGATCGTAAAGGTAAGTAATTTATGTGTTGTTTCAACTAAATTATTTCACGTCAAAAAAGATCTATTTTGTTTGTAGATTTTATAGTTTATACTCTTAATACTTTTAGTTTAATACTTTTGCGTAGAGCAGAATTATATCGTAGTGCGGTTTCGATCAGTGAGGATTCACTATACTACGGTTTCACAATTTCAAAACTAAAAGGGTTTTAAAGTACTCGATTAGTGCGGTTTCATACAGTTTATGGAATCTATTACCCTGACTATGCGCAGTATTCTTGTTTTCTCAGGTTTCGTTTAGTGCGGATTCAGTATAGTACGGTTTGAAAATTTCAAAATACTAAATATTGATTGAGTAAAATGCAATTAGTGCAGTAAGTTATATGATTATTGTTTTTAAAGATCTCGATTAGTACGGTTTCAAACAGTTTGTGGAACCGATTAGCCGCACTATTCGAGATATTCCTGTTTTCCCATTTTGTGAGTATACAGCGAATCGATCGTTTGTGTTTATCGTGTTTATTTGATTTAGATAATGATAATGTCCATGCCTATCGCACGCTTATCTTAATTTGATTTGCTTTTACACGTTAATCTAAATAGAAAACAGTACAATAATAATCCTATATTAAAATCCTTGTCAATAATTAAATTTAAGAGACACTGTGCATTTAATAATTAAACTAATTATTTATTTTCATACTAAATATCGTTTTTTATATGCGTACGAATGAAACTTTTGCACGATTTTAGTATGAAATAGTAAAGCTTTCAAGTATCAAAGTGCTATCTGTGAAGCTTCTATTTACGGAAGATTGTAAAGTTTATAACGCGAGAGAAATGATTATTCTATATTTACTGCAGCAGGCGATAATTTTTAATATAATTAGAACGGAGATAATGATGGCACATTAAAAGTACATTATCGAGCTCGGGTTTCAAACGATCCCTGCATTAAATGTATAGAACGAAGTTTATTAAATCGATATATATATAATTTGATCACTGAAAGAAACCATCAAGTTTACTTTTACATGGAAAAATTGGCAGTCTTTTTAAAAATTTACTTTAATAATTTGTATTTGCTCTAAATTTGGTCATTTTTTAATAATATAATTTAGTCGTTAGCACTTTGATCCAATTTTGGGTCGATAAAAATTAGATAAATCCTGTGTAAAAGATAGGGCGGATATATCCGCCGCATATCAGCAAATTAATGTTAATTCTATACTTTTTGCCCGTTCCACAAGTTTATCATCATTAATATATATTTATATATATATGACAGGGCGGATATATTCGCCGCTCGTCCACAACGGGTTTACGACGCGAAAGAATTGCGGAAAAGTACTTTGAAAAGAATATTATAAATTAAAAATACGGACGTGCGAATATATAAATACTTGAGGCATTTTTCTCAAGTATTTTCTTGCGCGATGGCCAAGAGGAGGACAGAAAATTTAAAAATAACGTTAATTTCCTCGAACAATTGGTTTCCTTTCCACATCTGACGAAACGCAACGGAAATAACTACTTGTGCGCCGAAAATAGCGATAAAACAGTTCTATATTACATTATTATTTACTCAAGCTGCAATCACAGCGAAGTGTATTTCTGGCCGAGATTATTAATCCCCTGAAAAAAGTAAAAGAGAACCGAAGAAAAGAAATACATTTATTTTTCTAACACAAAAACTAAGACTAAGAAATATGAGGAATATGAGCGTTTCGGTTCGGTGTAATGGCATTTCTATTTTTACACGTTCCGTGTTGTATATTTACATTGAATTTTGTGTTGCTCGTTCTTTCGTCGGTAAAACATTAAAACATATTTATACAAGTATTATAGATAGGAAGTTTCTAATTTTTTTTTTTGAAAAGAAATCCTCTCGAACAATACCAATGATGAACTCATTACAACGTTTATTGTTCCAACCGCACTCGTTTTCTCGCAGTAGATTTTATAGTTTATACTCTTAATACTTTTTCGTAGAGCAGAATTATATTGTAGTGCGATTTCGATCAGTGCGAATTCACTATAGTACGGTTTCACAACTAAAAGGGTTTTAAAGTACTCGATTAGTGCGGTTTCATACAGTTCATGGAATCTATTACCCTGGCTATGCGCAGTATTCTTGTTTTCTCATACTTTGTTTGTAGATTTCCTCGTTTAAAATTTACGTACTTACATTTTGAAATTACTGTAGTACAGCAATATATTGGCTTCGTTTAGTGCGGATTCACTATAGTACGGTTTGAACAAATACTAAATATTGATGGAGTAAAAGGCAATTAGTGCAGTAAGTTATATGATCATTGTTTTTAAAGTTCTCGATTAGTATGGTTTCAAACAGTTTGTGGAACCGATTATCCGCACTATTCGAGATACATATTTATACAAGTATCATAGATAGGAAGTTTCTATTTTTTTTAAAGAAATCTTCTTGAACAATACCAATGATGAATGAACTCATTAAAACTTTTATTGTTCCAACCGCGCTCGTTTTCTCGCAGTAGATTTTATAGTTTATACTCT